CTGTGGCTGTTTTTGGCTTGTGTCTCTTCTCCGCTTGTGCAGCCGACGGTGGCCCGGGCTCCAGTCTGAGGCCGGCGCTCCCGGGATAGTGATGAAACCGGAGTTCCGTGAGCAATGTTGGGTACAAGTAGTGCCTTGCTTGGTCTGCTCAGGCACAAACTTTCCAATCGCAGCTTTCTCACTTGTGCACTGCCCTCTCTGATGCAATGTCTCTGCGTTTCCCTGAAAAGGACTGTTCACTGAATCCTCATTATTTTCAGAGGTATCAACAAAGCTAAAGATTTGATAACTTCTTAGTGCAGCGACCACCTGCAGAGCTGTTGAAGCCGTCAGCTCGGTTCGAGAGGATCGGAGTTTTGCCGGGTGCATCACAAAGCCCTGTCTGGACTGCTCTTGAGTGCCTGTTTTTTATTTAAAGCAATAATTAGTGCTTTTGTCCCCAGGGGCAGACAGTTGTGTAGTGCCCTGAGTGTGATCCCAGTGTTGTCCCTCAGGCTATTGTACACTTGGCTCCGGTGATGTGTGTTTCCTTCGTGCCGCCCTGCTTGAATTTCCTGCTTCCTCCTCACTTGGCAGCGAGTGCCCTTGGATCAACACCAGTTTGCTGTGACAGCAAGTTGCAGACCGTTGTTCAAACAAGGGAACAGCAAGAAGCGGTGTTGCCTTGCCCCAGCCTTGTGATGAAGCGTGACTGGAAGAGCCTCCAGCTCTGCTGCCAGGTCCCCAGGAGGATGCTGCAGCTTTGGCAGGGACTCAGAATCAATTTTTAAGCAGAATCAATTAGGAAACTGGAAAATTGAACGTGGCACTGGGGTAGGCTTGAGATGCTTGGGCTGCTTAGCGTTGGGCTGGCTCGATCGTGGCATTCCCGGTACGTGTGCAGGGCAGCTTTACCAAGGCAAAATGAGATCTAGTTACTTGGAGCTGAGGCATGCTGAACTCAAACTGGAAGCGAGCTGCAGATTTTACTGAGTTAGCCATTGGATGGGTTGGATGGGATTGCCTGAAATACTTGTTTAGGTTTGAGGAGATTTCCACCAGAGATGTTTTAGGTTTACTTCAGAGATTAATCAGTGACAGGATTTTCTTGATGAGGCTTTTAATTTGGTTATGCCCAAAATCTGACCCAATGTTTGTGAGTAGCTACACCCAGGCTTAATGGTTTCAGGTTCCTGCTTGAAAGCACGAGGTGATTCTGGTTGCTGTAAGCTAACTATCTTCTCTCTCCTTTTGAGGTGTCAAGGGTTGTTTTTCCAGTAACTTGGACCTTTTTGAAGCGCCCACTTGCCTAATGCCATGGATATTGCAGCAAACAATGCGGAAGAAAAAGCTGTCCATTCCTGGTCAAGAATTTCCTCTGCGGGACAGAAAGTGCTGGAGGAAGCCCTCCGAGTCTTCAACCCAATGTCCAAGGACCTTTCGGACACCGAGACCCAGCTGGTGGCTTTCATTCAGGGCCTGAAGGAGGAGGGCTACCAGCCCACGATTCTGAGGAGCAAGGATGTGTACGGGTACAGCTCATGCACGGCAGACACGCCTTGTCAGACAACAGAGAGCACCCCGCACGACTGCCCTACCGCCGCCAAGTGCACGCAGAGCCCGATGCGAAGCGCCGCAGCCGCGGTGAAGGTGTCCGCTTTGCCAACCGGAGTTCTGGTGAACTCTTCGAAAGTCTCTGCTCAGCCCATCTGCAAAGGGGATTCCACAAATCTCCTCTTGAGCTCTTTAAAGCAAACAAGATCCGGCACGTCCAAGGCAGCTGCAGTGGGCTTCCCTGCAAGCATGTATCCCGATGTGTATCCAGCCATGAGACTGTCGGTGGTTCTGGAAGCTCTGGTGCCGCTGAAAACTACTGCATCCTGTTTAGAGTCCAAGTGCACACGAGGGCGTCTTGGGATCTCGCCCTCGGGCCTTAAACTCCTCAAGGCTTCGAGTCTGCCGAGGCAGTTTTCTTCAGGCAAGAGCACTAGAATAACAGAAGGTAAGAGGTACAAGCGTTTGATAAAGAAAACACCAGATTCTGCCACCCTCACTTTAAATCTTCTGAAGGGACCAAAGGGTGGAGTACTCCAGGAGAGCAATGCTTGCAAAGCCTCGGGAGTCCTCAACGGGAGGGTCACAGGCGGCTCCTCCCAGGGCTGCACCGCAGCTCCACAGTCTAAGACCCTGAGAATCAAAGATAAGGAAGCTCTGGTGGGGAAAACAGAGTGGAAGGACAGCAGCACTTACCGGGAGGGCGTTGGGCAGAAAAAGAGAAGAGCTACAGAGGCAAGAGAAGCACCACAGAGGAAGAAGGCAAATACCATTCCTGTCCGAAATAAATCTCGACAGGCTCAGAGCACTTTGAACCTGCTGAAATTCTGGGCCATCAAGGTGGGCAGCTCTTCCTCTGACGATGAAGTGAGGAGGAGAGCACAGAAGATTCTGAGGGTCAACCTGTCCCCTGTGATCCGAATTCAGGCCTTGTCCCGCTCTCACAGCGTCTCCTGAGTTTCCTCACTTGGTCACTTTTTTTTTTTTTTTGTAAGTAATTAACTACAAGCCTGACACCTGAGCATGGAGAAGGTTTGAAGCGACTCTGGATCTCTGGTGCCTGGCGATGATACGTCGACTGACCTGCAGACAGAGCAGCCTGCTCTCGCACTGTTTCTGCCCGTCTGCCACTGCTATGCAGAACTGACTGCAGAAACAAAAAAACCTATTTGGGGCTGCGGGAGGGTGACTTGCCTGCGGTGAGCCGAGTGGGCTGGGGAGCTCGCTTCCCGCAGGCGCTCTTCGGAACATGGCAGGCTGCGTTCTCATGCAGGGGGAGGACACGGGACTTTCTCATGACATTGATCCACTGTGATATTGCTTTTTTTTCAAGCTGTACATTTACTGGGTTTGGTCAAATTTTGTAACTTTATTATCTGTGTATCCGTATATGTGCATATGGCCCAGGAACTGTGGGAAGATGCACTTCCTCCATCCCTCTGGGATGGGGTTTGATAGCTTTTGTTCCCCCTCCTCTTCAGCCAGTCTTTTGTTGCAAGGTGCCAGGATATCTTTGGGATTCAGTGTTGTGGCAGTCTGTTCTGGCCTCTCTCGAGCAGCTTGGAGGCAGGCAGAGTTACAGGCTCTTGTCTGCCTCCAGAAATGCCAAGCAATTTGGAGAATAACCAGCTGATCTTTGACTATAGTTTCAATTATATTTTTGGTATTACCTCTGTGTAGGAGCTGAGAAGTGTTACGGGGCTGTTGCCTGATGTCTTTAGGTGCCTCTTCCGTTCCTTGGTAGCAGAAGCTCTTGGGTGTATGGTGGGAATTGACTCCGAAGAGCGATTCCTCCTCAGCACCCGGTGTTGCTCTGCTCTCGTGTACCCCAGGTGCAGGTGTAGAACGTGAACTGTTGGAGCCAAAGGGCTGGAGTTGTTAACAGGAATTGCCTCGAGTGTCCTGCCTGCCACATAACTGCTTGGCTGTTGCTGGGTGTTTCAGGAGCAGGTTCTAGGTGCTGGCAGAGAAGACATAGGCTGTGTTTGAATGTATTAGATAACATCCTGCTTGTCCCAGAGCTCAGTGGGGTGTTTGAGCTGGAATTAAAGTAGGAAAGCGAAAGAGTTGAGAGCATATATGCCAGTACTTAAAAGTAAAGAGTTTCTTTCTGCCGGTTTGCGGGCGTGAAGCAGTAGGAGGGGAGATCATCACCGTGTTGTGATGGGTGATGGCTTTGCTGTGCTGTCAGGGATGTTGTGAGAAGGTGTGTGGCAAGTGTGAAAGCTCTTGGGGCGTAGGCTCTGCCGGTCCCCTGGAGGCACCACGGAACTGCCGACGGATTCGTTAGCCTTCCTGCGCCGGGGGCACGCTGTTGAACGGGAATGCAGACCGTGCACTGGCAGGTGTCGGGGTCTGGGTTCCCCAGGGAGGGATCTGCACACCCCAGGAGAAACACCACGTTGGAGCGATAGGTGCTGCTGCTGTCACGCAGGAGGGATGGTCTCCTATGAGCTGATCTGCATTGGGATACTGCAAAAGCAGAGCCTGGTGGCGTGGGGAGAGGAAGCGGCATCAGGCCAGGCACGGGCCGGCCCTGCGCGCCGCTGCACATTCAGATCCCTGCAGCAGCGGGCTGGTAATCCACTGAGTCTCTCGCCAGCTCAAAATACCAGTTGTCTGACCTAGTAATCTCTGTGGACATTGGCTGAAGGGATGAGCTCCCCTGGGAAGCCCCAGCTCCTTGCGTTTCAGCCCCTCCCTAGCACCTGGCTGGATTTCAGCGCTTTGTAAAAGGGATCAGTGTCTGATCCCTGGTGCGGAGAGGAAAAACATGGTATGGAGAGGAGAGAGGAGGTTCATGAGGGAGCGAGAGGGAAGGGAAGCTGGGTGTCCTGAGGCACAGCCAGGGTCCTTCCCCCTTGTCCAGGTAGAGCAGGGTGGAGGTTCTCCCTCGGGGGATGATTGCAGGCTCCAAATCACACACTTGGGTTCTGTGTGGTTTTACTGTGCGTGTCTGAGTTGCTGTCAGAGATTATCCCCTGCAGTGTTTGAGACTGACCTGTGAATGCCGCTGGCTGGCTACAGAGGACAAGGAAATACTTTCTTCTGCTTCTGTATTTTGAAACGCCCTGGCAGAGAGTCCTCTGTCCTGACATGCTGCTGGATGACCAGGGACCCTGTGTCACTGTTAACTGGCCAAGGATTGTGTTGTCCCTTTTGTTCCTTCTCCTTCAGACCTTTTGTATTCCCACGCTCTCAAATGCCAGGTCTTGAAGTCTTGCACCAGAGTTTCTCTTTTGGGCTGTTTCCCAAGGAGAGTTCTGAACTGCTGCCTGCAGTATCGCTGTCTGACAGGCCGCTCTATGGCTTCCCCTCTTCCCAGCCCCTTATAAGGGCACTGAGAGCTGTCTCTGGAGCCTCTTCATGTGGTGCAGACATCCCAGCCAAGCGCCTGGCCCCCAGTGGGAAAACCAACTGTGTATCAGCAAGGCTGAATTCAGCTTGAGTTTGCTTTTCCTCCAGCCTGAGCAGGAAGCTGAGCGCCTGAAGCCAGCTTATCAGGCCACATCCCTCTTCTTCATTGTGTTTCTTCCCCTAGCTGCTCTGCTGCCTGCCTGCCCACTTTTCTCCATCACCTCTTGTCTTTCACAGCTTGAGTCTTTTCCAGTTAAGGACTTGGCTTATGCTGTTGCTTAACACATCCAGCAAAACATACTGCCTTAGCGCTGCCATGTCTTTCCAGCACCGAGCTGAGTTCTGTGAATGCTTGCCCAGTGTCCTCCCCAGCCCACCAGCAAGAGGTCTTCTGCTCCACGGAGAGAGACAAGCATTAGAATACCTCTGTGTCACTGAACTCCTGCCAGGGAAGCGAGCACCCCATCACTCTGTGCTCGGGGACTTGCCCTGTCTCTGTCAGCTCTTCTGCACAGCTCTAACAGACCGCAGGGCCCGTGAGCTGCTGCGCAGCCCTGAGGCTTGATTCTGTGCCCTCCTGGTGTCTCCTCTTCCTCCTCACAGGTGAACTGGGAATTTGGCTGGAAGGATTGCAGCTTTTTATTCACAGAGGGGCTCTACAGCCCCCAGTGCCAACATCAGAAACCGCTGCCAGTCATCCAGTGCTGGCAGACAGGCACCTGCAGCCTCTTGGTGGTTTGCTCCTCTCTTCATCTCATGGCTCCAGGAGGCTGCAGGAGGGGCTATGCTGTGGACGCTGCTGTCTGATGTTTAGGGAAGATCAAGAGTTCAGTCAAACCAGACCTGCTTAAGGCATGATCTAACCAGAGATCTCCCTTTGGAGGTCCATTACACCCTATGCTATTCTGTGACAGCAGAATAACGCTCGCCTTCCAGGGATCTATGCAGCAGTAACTGTCGGGGCGCACACAGATATGTTGCCTGGAGCACTGTTGTCTCTGCTGAGTGTACTGTGTGCAGGTGGTTCAGACCTGTTTCTGTATTATTCACTTTGAATTCATCCACGTGCCTGACTTGATCGGGTAGTGAGGTGGATTGTGAACTGGTTGAAGGAAAGAAGTCAGAGAGTTGTGGTCAGTGGGGCGGAGTCTAGTTGGAGGCCTGTGTCTAGCGGAGTCTCTCAGGGGTCAGTACTGGGACTGGTACTGTTCAATATATTCATAAACGACCTGGGTGAGGGAACAGAATGCACTATCAGCAAGTTTACTGGTGACACAAAACTGGGAGGAGTAGCTGACACATCAGAAGGCTGTGCTGCCATTTAGCAAAACCTGGACAGGCTGGAGAGTTGGGTGGGGAGAAATTTTATGAAATACAGCAAGGGCAAGTGTAGAGTCTTGCACCTGAGAAAGAACAACCCCAGGTACCAGTAGAGGTTGGGGACTGACCTGCTGGAGAGCAGGGTAGGGGAAAGGGTCCTGGGGGTCCTGGTGAGCAGCAGGATGGCCATGAGCCAGCAATGTGCCCTCGTGGCCAAGAATGTCAATGGCATCCTGGGGTGTGTTAGAAGGGAGGTGGCTAGTAGGTCGAGAGGGGTTCTCATCTCCCTCTACTCTGTCCTGGTGAGGCTGCATCTGGAATAATGTGTCCAGTTCTGGGCCCCTCAGTTCACGAAGGACAGGGAACTACTTGAAAGAGTCCAGCGCAGAGCCACAAAGATGATAGGGTGGAACATCCCCCTTATGAGGAAAGGCTGAAGGAGCTGGGTCTCTTTAGCTTGGAGAAGAGGAGGCTGAGGGGTGACCTCATTAATGTTTATAAATATGTAAAGGATGGATGTCAGGAGGACGGAGCCAGGGTCTTCTCAGTGATGTCCAGTGATAGGGCAAGGGGCAATGAGTACAGGCTGGAGCTTAGAAGGTTCCTCAAAAACCTTAGGAAAAGCTTATTGACTGTGAGGGTGACAGAGCCCTGGAGCAGGCTCCCCAGAGAGGTTGTGGAGTCTCATTCTCTGGAGACATTCAAAACCCACTTGGGAACGTTCCTGTGTGACCTGCCCTAGGTGATCCTGCTCTGGCAGGGGGGTTGGGCTAGATGATCTCTAGAGGTCCCTTCCAACCCCTGACATGCTCTGATTCTAACCTGGCCTATGCTGTTCCTGGGCACCGTGACAGCTGAGAGCTTTGGGGACTCTTAGGAATGCTTTTATCACATGGATTTCTGCCACTGTCACTTCTAGGAATTGTTCAGCCAGCAGTCAAAGGTCTGTTCTTCCAACTGATATTGTGGAAATAATTTCTCCTTTTGTTCAGCTGCCAAGAAGCAAGAGTTGATGCTTTGCCTCCACCAGACAAGGTCCTTGAGCTTCCTGTGTGCTTCAGATCTGTCAGCGAGGTCCATGGGGACAGCAGCTTGTCAGGCAGGCAGCTGAAGGGGAAGTGGACATCAGATACCCATTGAAATTACATTCTTAATTGGTAGAAATGTTTTGAAGCTCATGTCCACTATGATTTGATTTCACCATCTGCCACTACTTTTAGTTGGAGAAGGTTCTCCCTAGCCTCTTCCCTGCAAGCTATGTAGCGCGGTGCTGCTGCTTC